GGGCTGAGGATGTGATGGTTTAACAAGCAAATGCAGGGACATAGAGAAAGAACCTGGGTCATAGCCAAGAACTGAAGCACAGCCGATTGAACAGGAAAATCTGATGGGGTATATGATAGAATCAATTTTTAAAAGTTTTCTTCTATTTATATTTGGACCTCACTTCCCACAAGTTATGATCTCTAGGTGTACAAAAGTGACTACTAAGAGACCCATGGCAACATTAATTTGATTTTGCCCTTTAGCTCCGTGTATATTAGTTTACCCTTCTCTTATCTAATAACACTCCTCTGGATTCTGAAACACCAAAGGCTGTTCCACAGTGGGGTGCTGTGTTCGTGGAGATTATGAGGTGTGGTGAGTGTTTACTGAGCACTGAGTGTTTTGCTAGCATAAATGAAACAGTTCTTTCAGATGTTGGAAAGGTTTGTGAACATTATCAACATTTGTAAAATGAAATATCTAAAAGGATATTGAATTATATTAAACTATATCATCTTTCTTATGCTTGCTCAGTTTACCCAGTTGAGAGAACTTATTTAAAGTACTTGTGTCATTGGTTGAGATTTATTATTTGAAGATATTAGGTGAACTGCATACATTAATTTATATGTTAATTATATATATATATATATATATATATATATATATATATATATATAGACACATACAAACATGGACACACACATGGACACATGGACATATAGTTGGGTTTTGATACAGGGTCTCCCTTTGTAGCCCTGACTGTATTGGAACTTGCTTTTTAGACCAGGCTAGCCTTGAACTCATGGAGATTTGCCTGCCTTTACCTCCTGAGTGCTGGGATTACAGGCGGGGGCCACCACACGTGACTTGTGTGAATATATTTGGATATGACTTCTGATCCGTTTGATCAATTGGTTTAGTGACTTTTTTTAATTGTTAAAAGACCTCAACAGAGTTGAGCTTTTTGTGTAATCCATTTCCAGTTTTATTTTACTTTTTGTTTCATATATTACAAACTAATACAAGAGAATGGTTTAATAAATCTTAATGTATTAGTGCTAATAATATTCATATTTTATTTAATCTTTATCCTACCTACTTCCTACCTTGTATTACAGCATTTTTAAGTAAATTCTAGTAATATAATACACACTATCAGTAAATATTTTAATATACACATGTAAAAGATAATGAAACTTAGAAATGAAACTATGATGTTCTCAGAACAATTAGTAACCTCAAATATTTAATTATGTTAAATTTTCCAATTGTGATTTTAGTTTTTCTTTGTTTTTAAGAATCTGTCACAGGCCCAAACATTCTGATTGTTTGCCGTATTATCTTATTTATCTCTTTAATGACCTTTTTATAAAAGTTGTGTTTTCATTTAATTATGTTTCACATGCCCTTCTCTGAGAACTGCACTGATTTCCTAACCTTTTTCATCAACTTGTACAGATGATCCACCCTTTTCATCCCTAGTTTCTTACTTGTAAAATTATAATGTCAAGCCAGACAGTCCTTAAGGTCACTTATAGTTGTCAAATTCAGGGAGAGTTTGGAGGAAACACTTTGACTTTTTTTCTGTGAGAAAGGAGGTGGGTTTTTGTCGTTGGTTTTAGAATGAACAAAAACTATAGCTGAAGATAAAAGTTGGGGGCAGAGATCCTCAGTGTCTGGAAGTGCAGTGTTTGGGAGCTGAATTAAGACAAAGCATCAGAACCAATTCCCAACACAGGGCAGGCAGAAAACCTACTAGCTAGCTAAGGTCTACTCATTTGTCATCACCACAGTCTGTGCCTCCTCCTTCTCCTCCTTCTCCACCAAGGTAGTGACTATATGGAGTCTACCTTGAAGGAAAGTTCTCTTAGAGGGGACAATCCTTTTGCCAGCAGATTTTTTCTCTCAGCATGGGCCAGGAACCTTTGCTTCTTCTGCTTCGTCCCTCACCTCTACTTATGAGCAAGTCTAAGCATCTTGGTAGGTGCTTGATGGTCCATGGCATAGGAGAACTGGTTAATAGGAAGTACTTTGGGCTGCTTATCAAGATAGCCCTTTGCTGCAACAGCAGAAAGTAGTGATGCCATTTGACAAAGCGAGTGAGGTCTCCTTATGGCTGGATGTCTTGTCCAGTGCCAAGGTTCTTAAGATTTTTTTCTTAAGCAAGAGAATTCTTCACTTTTTTGCCCCCCTGCTTCTTCACAGCAGAGGGAACTGGGGCGCTTTCCTCTTACCTTGCTTTACTGTTGAATCTTGCTCAGCCATTGGAGAAAACCAAACACGTATCTTTCATATAGAGGATGTCAGTGGAGTGGGACCTGAACCTGCCTGGAAGGAAGACAGGTAAAACAGCCCAAATTTCTACTTGAGAATATCTGGGGCTGACCCTTTATTAGTAAGGGTGAACAGAAAAGGGATTAATTCCACAAAACCTGAGCTGAACCTCAGTCTTGTTGGTCTATACTCTCTAGAGGACTTGGTGGTTAGACTCTGCTGTCCACTGGAAACAGAGTCACTCCTCTCTGGGAGAAGATGGCACCCTCCAGGATGGTATTTAACCTCTTATGTACCTCGTTTACTTAAAATCTCCTGTACCTCAGCAAAAATAGCCAGGCAACATGAGAAGACAGTATGTGTGTGAAAACCCAATAGAAAAAGAGATGGCAGAAGATGCACTATGGTTACAGATAACAGAATCAATTACAAACTGTACTTTCTTTTTTAAAAAAATTTATTTTTAAATCAAATCGTAATTTTTACTTATTCACACAGGGGTTATAAACACAAAAAGGCAGGATGTGGGGAAGGGGATGACACCGGAGAGTGAGTGTTCAGGGGGGTACAGATATCTTTCAGAACAGGGTATCGGCTGAGTGAAGGTTCAGGGGACAGGTCACTATGACTCTGCCTATGATTCACTTGTCCTTATCTAAGTTGGTACTATCCACCAAGGTTACCTATTTACAAGGTTTATGACTCCTCAGGCTGGTAAATTTCCACAAAAGCTGCCTGTTTGGACAATGACAGGGGGACTGGAGCCATTACAAGATCTCCTTCAATTACTGAAAGTCAGGCCTCTATCCCTGCCTTCACAAGATTAGAATCGCCAAACTGTACTTTCAAATCATTAAAATTAGTATTTTTTAATTAGCTACTTTTCTTATTGCTTTTACAAAATACCATAGAGCAGCTGACAGGGAAGTTCAAGGAAGGAAAAAGGATCCATTTTGCCTTGTTTGAGAGGATGCTGAATGTCAGGGAGAAAATGGCAGTCAGAGTTTGAGGTGGCCAGCCACATTACATCTGCAGACACAAAGCAGGGAGAGATGAACCCTAGCACTGCACTCCCCTCTCTCCTCTGTGGTTCAGTCTTGTGTTCCAGCCCGTAGGTTGGTGCTGTGGATATTCAGGGTGTCTTCTGTCCTCGGTTAATCCTTCCTGTCAAGCCCTACCTGGATACATCCAGAGGTGTGTCTACCAGGTCCTGACCCTTTTAGGTTAACAGTGAAGATTAACCATTCTAGAGACGGAACAGTTGAGATAACTGGAAACGAAGAAGTAAATGAGATGATTTAACTCGAAAAACGTGGCTAATGTTAAAAATTCTGTGAATAGTTTTATGGCAGATTTAACACATTTGAAAAGTCAAGAGCTTTTCTTTTCTCCTGTCCAGTATGCTTTTAAAAATCATTTTTAATTATGAAAAATGATCTACAATAAAGTAGTAAGAGTGGTAGAATAGAACCCAGTGTTCCCATGGTCTAGCTTAAATGTCTTCTAAGCCATGATTAAACTTATTCTGTCCACACGTGGCACCTTTTTCACACTCTGTTACCCCTGCACACTGATGACATCACACTCTGTTACCCCCGCACACTGATGACATCACACTCTGTTACCCTGAATACTGATGACATCACATTCTGTTACTCTGCCCACTGATGACATCATCACCCATCACATTATTTCACCACCAAGCAATTCGCTGTCTCCACTTCTTGTTGGAGTTCCAGTGTTGACCTTATTATTATGGTCATTTGACTACTGAACCTCAGTTCATCGATTTCTTATGTAACTTAGGCTTATTATTGTTATTATTATTATACTTGATAATTGTATCTTGATTGTTTAATTTCCTGACTGCCATAATTTATTCCTAATACTCTGACCAAATTCTTATGTTGATGTCAGTATGATGATAAACCTCAAGTGCTCAGATGGTTCTGTTGTCCCTCAGGAACCATCTCTAGTAGTTATTTGAGATCCTGCCCCAGTTGCTCAGTGTTTTTTCTTTACTGGGCTTGCAACATGGCCCTTGTCTTGGCACTTCCTTACTTCCTCTTGCACTGAATGCCAAGTCTGGGATCCTTTGTTTTCCTTAGTGTGCTCTCTCAGCTCAGAAGAGCTGTCACCTTCACTCACCCTTAGAGGGAAGGTCAGCTAGTTAGACTTTGTGCTCTCAAAACATCTTGGTCTACCCTTACTCTTAATAGGAAGCCTATGAGCGCTGCCTTAGCCTTCTAGGTGGTAAGTGATTTCTATGAGGCCTTGACAGTTTTTCCATTGTCTTCTACCTCCCATGGTTAGTGGGAAGGTGTATGCAGTTGTGATCACCAGCACAAACCTTCTGGAATATTCAGGACTCATCTAACTTTTCTGGAGATTCATGATGATATACTATGGTGTGTTTTTATCCACCAAGCAAAGAACCTTAGAGCCTTCGAGCTGTGTCCTGCAATCCGGAAGCTACACTGCACTTTCCAGCGCTTCCTTCCCTCCATCTCCATTCTCAGGTCTGTTCTCCAGGGTCGGAATCTTCTTTGCCTTTCTTCCCCATCCCCCTCCTTGTGGATGGCATTTCTGATTCCTTTGAATCAAAATTAGAACAAGGCATGCTTTTTTAACGGCTTAAACAGTTTATAGTCTTGTAAAATGCTGACCTCAATTTTAGAAAAAGAAAGAAAGGCTTTATGAATCAATAAAATAGTTTTACATGGACAGTGAATGAGCAGTTATAGAATAGAACTTGAGTGTAAATTTATTTTGTTCATAGATGAAGGTAAATCAACAGACTTCAGGGGACAATGAAATGGCTCAGTGGGTGAAGGTACTTATGTGTAAGCATGCTGACAGGGGTTTAGTCCCTGGAACTTACTGTGGAAGGGGAATAAGAAACAATTTCCAATAGTTATCTACACACACACACACACACACACACACACACACACAGAGAGAGAGAGAGAGAGAGAGAGAGAGAGAGAGAGAGAGAGAGAGAGAGAGAGACAAACACACTATGGCGTGTGCACACCTGCCCTTGCACACACAACAGTAATAAATAAAAATTTTAGATCTGGACTTCAGTATCACATAAACTTGGTTTTGATTCTTGCTTTGCTGTTACTGGTTTCTAAGGGAAAACCTTATGCACTCTTCAAGTTTCAGTTTCTCTAACTCTAAAATGGACACAATAATAGCAGTCATCAGATTCTAATTTAAATATGATGGCTTATGTGAAATGCCTTTAGGCTTGGAGCTGGCCTGGCTGAAGAGACCCTCTAGTGGCAAGTGGAAACTGCCAGGGAGAGATAGAGTGTCACATGGCTCTTGATGTCTTTCTCTGATTCTGCCTCTTCCTGGCTGTGTGATGTTTAAGATGTTTATTTTCAGGTTTGGCTTTGGTTTCTTTATGTTTAAAAATGATATAGCATCTCTCTCTCTTGGGTACTCCCTGTAAGGACTGTGCACACTAGGACGCTTCAAGTAGCTAGTCCTTCTGTAGGTGTCTGGCTAGGTGTTATTAAGATGAGGTCATACTGGGCTGGAGAGATGACTCAGCAGTTAGGAGCACTGGCAGCTCTTCCAGAGGTCCTGAGTTCATATTCCCAGGACCCACAGGGTGGCTCACAACCATCTGCAATGAGATCTGATTCCCTCTTCTGATATGCATAAAGACAGAGTACTCATATACATAAAATACATGAATAAATAGATCTAAAAATAATAGATGAGGAAAGACTATGGCACATCACTAACTGGATCTTTTGTTCTCTGAGACCTGCTCCTTGTGGTACTTTCCTGGGCTGGGGTTTTCTTGACAGTTTATATCTAATTATGCATAGTGACAATTTCCATGTGTTTATATAGTAAAATCTAAAGAAATAAGAATTAAAATTGGCTGTCTTGTCTAGAACACTATATGAAGAAAATGTAATTGTGTCATACCAAACTCCAAGACTTCTTCTTCCAGACAGGATGGCATGTAGAAATTCAGTTATTGGGAATTTTTGGTTTATTTCTTTGTAACAGTATGGAACTCCTTTTTTGTTCTGTTTGCTTTTTGTTTTTTGTTTTACATTAGTGAGCAATATGGTAATGAAGACTCACATACTTCTGGAACTGAAAAGTAGCTTAGGGAATATGTGATTAAAATTTTTAATTTTATTGATGAAGAAATTAGGCTAGAGAAAGGCTGATATTTGTCCAAGACACAGCTGTGTACTAGTGAAGCCAAAGAAAAATAGCTGTGTCCCTTAAATTTCAGCTCAATATATATACTTATACATAGTCAGTGACAAACCATAGTAGAAAAGGTAGACTCCAAATGGTTCTCAAAACAAGTTATTTAAATTATGCAAGAACATGAAAAAAAATCATCAGTGAATTGGGATTTGGTAAGCATTTTTGAGTTTCTAAATTAACACCCTAATTTTCATATGCTACAGGGCTATTAATTATGTATTTCTTTTAAATTATTTAGCTCAAAATGTATCTAAAGCATCAATTTCTCCTGTTTTGAAAATGTTGGTGATCACAGCTGTTGAGGATCATGGTTGCAGATATTCAGTAACTTGAACTCTTTGGACAGGTAACATCTTTGGTGGGATCCACCCTCTCCTCAACATTTGTTGTTATAAATCACAGTGACTATGAATTCACAGGGTTTCTTAAAGTCCTGTGAAATTCAAGGAAGGCACATACTGGTAAAATACAGGTGACATCCCTCTGATTGGCAGCAGAAGACCCTAGCTCCCTACACATAAAACATTTTTTTTTTTAATTTGTAGCTAATTGGTATGAGAAATAGTCTTGCTTTGAAAACTTACCATCCAATAATGTAATTCATGCTTTTGGGAGGTTGGGGTGCTTTTCAATATTGCTTTTTTCCCTTCTGTGCTGAATCAAGATACAGATTTGGAATTCTATTGTTCCCCCACCCTCATGCTTTGGCACCCTGCACAGGCCCAGTAACAGCATGATCCTGGCAGTGGCAGAATTGGGGCAGTGTCCAAAGATCAGAAAGTCACTCAATGAGTGGTATGCTTTAACTCAGAGGCCCAAGGGCCCCAGCATTCTTAGCTGCAGATGTGTGGTGGGGCTTGAAACTTTAGGTCAGGTCTCACCCCTTCTCCATCTTAGCTTGTTTCTGAGGCGTTTGCATTTCTGTTTTCTATAAGCCCACTGTGCTGCTGCCAGAGCAAAGATGTCCAGCTGTGAAGAAAGGATATGCAATGCCTTCTAAACAGTTTCTTTTATGGTCTTTCTCCTCACTCTTTAAAGGAAACCTATCCAGGTCCATCTGTGCATCTTGTTCTCTGAACAGGGGCATGACAGAGAGACAACTCTGTGCTTTAGCTTTCCATTTCATACTGGTTTTCATATAGCTGATACATTCTGTTTTACAAATGCCTACGTGTTCCATCCTAGAAACAAGTGTCTCATTTTAATTTCATTTTCTTACAGATATTCCTCTCTTCCTCAGGTAGGCAGCATTGTTTCCATCCTTAAAGGCACCTCTCACTTAAATGTGTGTTGCCTAGAGGGCTGCTTTTTCTGACCTAGGGAAGGCATGCTGGTGAAAGCGTAGGAATACATCTATCGCTCCCTGCGCCTCCCTGTACCCTCTTGGCCTATGAGAGGTTTGGTATGTGTTTGTGTGTTTACCAATGTCAGAGCTATAGCGGTGGCTCCAGGAAGCAGCAGAGCGTGGACTAGTGAGTGGGTGGTTGGGTACTGTCAGTGGTGAATCTGTAGATTGGACATAATGAAGCAGAAAATCAAGATGCTTCACTGTCAGAATTTTCAAGGTCAGTGCTGCTGGTCACTTTCTTTTCAAGTCAGGTTAGCGCAGGACTTTATTCCAGCAGCTCTGAGTGCTGTCTTGGACAGGAGGTAGGTCCCAGGGCTTCTAAAGCCCATTTCAGGAAGAGTGTACAAACTCCCGGAGGACACTGAAATGTCAGGTTTAGCCCGTCTTCAAGCAAGCAGGCTAAACTTTAGAAAAGATAAGTAGTCTTCAAACTTTTTATAGAAGAGGGACTTGTTTTTTTGAAAGAACTGTCTTTACCATCTCCAGTACATAGAAGGGAGAAAGTGGTGTGAGAACCATAGATTTTGGTAGTGTTGAGGATCTGGTTGGTTTTCATCAACAATTTCAGCAGCTAGGTGTCTTCCCAGAACACAGGCTATGATGAGAAGGTTGCCCAGATGGTATTTCTTTTCAACCAAGGTATTAGGTCTTTTCTTTGTCTGTAGAGAGAATTTAGGTGCTATGAAGAGTCTGTTTTACACATAATTTCAAAGAGGAAACACCTTCCTCCTGGGCGTTTTGTTTGTTTTTTTTGTGGCCTGCCCTTACTTTGTTAAGTTGAAGGGTCCTTCTGATGGTTGAAGATAAGTTGTATCACTTCAGTTAACTTTTAGCTACTAAAAAAAGTTTAAAAGTATTTGAACTCCTGAAACTAGCTTGTAAGGGCAGCAAACATTTCTACAAATTTCAAAGCCTGTAAGATTGATTGCTTTTAGTGTTTGCTATGACCAAATGATTAACTAGGATCCTGCAACGAGGCCTCTGAGAGATGATTTATGCAGTGAATGCAGAAAGGATGTTTGCATATAACCATCAGAGTTTTTTTCTGAGGCCCTTTAAACCTTGTTTATCTTGGGGACAGTCAGTACTTCCATCATTTTTCTTTCCCTTTGTATTTTATTGTCTTCCGCAGAGGTCCAAGCCAGCCTCTTAATATTTACAGAGTTTGGTGGATTTAGGCTTTCTTGGGGGTTCCCCTGAGTCTGTGGGAGAGAAATGTGCTTCAGGTCTTCTGAATTTTTTGCTACCACCAATGAGGGAGCAGATTTTATGATTAATCAGTTTCCCAAACTAAAGAAATATAATTCTCACAAACACTGAAATATGTCATAATTTTTTAGAATTTCAAAATGAAATGTATGCTGATCAAAGCTAGGACCAGATTTTATGGAATTTTCTTTCTAACACTTTTTCTCATATTTTTACTATGGATGGAAAATTTAAGTTCACCTACATTGAAATAGCATGTTCTATTGAAACGAATTCTTGATCCTTAAGAATCAGGAGGGCCAGCCTTGGTGGCACTAAGCTTTAATCCCAGCACATAGGAGGCAGAAGTAGGTAGAGCTCTGAGAGGTCAAGGCAAGCCAGGGCCTCAAATAGTGGGACCCATTTTCAAAACCAAAAACAACAGGAAACAACAACAACATAAACCAAACAACAACAACAACAATCCAATCAACCAAACTACTACTACTACTGGAGCGCCCACCATGTGTCGTGGGGCTTGTAGGTCACTGAAATACAAAAGTGGACAGGGCAAACCCAGTGCTTGCCTTCAGTGAAGCCCTGGTCTCATTTTTAAGTCTATAGCTCTAAAAATACCTGCTAAGAAGTCTGCTGTTCCACTCTTCCTGCAGGACATTGCTTGAGGGAGTCCATATGCTGCAGGATGCAAAATCATCATGTTGGTGGGACTTTAATTCTCTGGGCCTTTAGAACAGGGCTAATGGAAGAGGAGAAGCACAACCCTGTCCTGGGCACAGTGACAAAGATTCTTAAAACCCACTGTAACTCTCACCATAGGTAGGTGAAAGAAGAAGAAGGTGATTGTCTTTAAAATTCATCCTCTTTTAGGCAGAATGCAGACCTAAAGAGAAGGATTCTATGGTGATTCTTTGGTAACAAGAACCTAGAGATTCAACACCTGCCCAGTGGATATGGATGTGCTGCCCTTGCTGCCCAGAGGGATGGCTTTCTGAGCTGTCTTCTTTTCTTATCTTTCTATTACCCAGCAGGAGTACAAAGGCTGAGCAGCAAACCCTACCTTCAGAAATGTTTTCCTGTTGTTGAGAAGGCATGTTATCGATAGTACCTAATTTTGTTCACTTGGGCAATGGATACTTTAGTCTGTGGATGGATGGAATCATACTGGTCAATACTGTCCTGAAAAGGACCAGTTCTAAATAGCAGTTCAGATGCTCAGCCCATCTGTTCTGTCACAACACAATATAATTTGTTGTATCATTACACTGTATTTTTTAATTGATGCCTTTTCTGGTGAATCCATATATGTTTGGAGAACTATCTTTTGCATGTTTTTTTTTGCAAGATGAGGTGTGTTTGAAAGCAGTTTTGTCCCATTCAAAGGAAGACTAAGATATAAGCAGGAGACTGGGAAATTTAACACAACAGAATACATGGAGTTTCCTGCCATTACAGCTTTGTGAAGGGTTCAGGGTTGCTTATCCTAGACTCTCAGAAAGAATAATGCACCTAACAGTTTTAAATAGGGTCCATATTTTAATTAAGAAATGAAGATTCTTTTAGTTTTTTCCCATGTGTTTTCTCCATGATGGAAACAAGCCTTCGACCATCGATGTGACTCGTCTCACATCAGTGTTTTGGGGTTGTGAACTTGTCTAAGACCCCCATAATTAGACATCCAAATTCAAAATTCACATAGTTGGGATTGATCATAAGATGCCTTCTCTAACTAAACAGAGAAGGGGGAGATGCCAGAAGCCAGGACCCTCGCCCTTACCCTCACCCCCTACCTTTCCCCACCTGCACAATGTCCTCTGAAGCTTGGCAACTGCAAGATCCTGCTTAGCAACTGCAGATAGACTCAAAGCAGTGTACCATATCATCTTAAGAATAGCAGGGAGACCACAACTCAAGCAGTGTACCATATCTTCTGAAGAACAGCAGGTAGATCATAATTCAAGGCAGTGTACTGTATAGACCATGACATGTTTCAAGGCACAGGCCAAGAAGATTTTGTACTTTTCCACCACCTGGCCCCTCTTACCCCCTCCCCTTGTAAAACATGCTATAAAAAAGCATTTCATGTTCAAAAAATAAATAAATAAATAAATTTAAAAAAAAAAAAGAAATGCTTGTGTCAGTATGTGGTATACACCTTTAACCTCAGGGGAAGCAGAGCAGGCAGATCTATTTATGTTTGAGGCTATTCTAGTCTACATACAGAGTTCCTGGGCAGCCAATGCTATATAGTAAGACCCCTGTCTCCCCAAACCAAACAAAAACAACAACAATAACACACAAAAAAACAACATACCCTTCTGTCCCGGCCTGCGGGACTCGGTTATTCGTGGGGGCGAGGGGAACCAAAACCT